ATAATGTATTGATAAATAGCTGATTCTTCAAAATAGGTGTTAGTAAAGCTTTTCCACTAAAAAACAATTGAAAAGGTGTTACTTATAGACAACCAAATCTTAGAGCTTGTGAGTGCCGCCAGCTCAGTATTACTGAAATCAGCATTGCATCCACAGTTTGCCAGTGTACAAGAGTAGGTGCTTAACTGTTCTACTTTCCCCAAATCCTACTTCAAGACACTGTTTCCTGCTTGTGAAGCCAGTCCTATTCCTTCACCACAGAGCAGTTGTATCAATATAGAGGTTGATTTCAGAAATAATAACCTTTACTAAAATATATAATCTTCTTCCAAGTCCCCTCTGTCTTAGAAAATACACATGTGAAATAATTAGAAAATAGATTTCTGCTTTTCAGTTCAATAAACAGGTTTAAGTACAGGTTTAAGTGACTCCATTGAAAGAGATGCAAGATGGAAAGCACAAGACTCAAAAACTTGCATTTCCTTGTAAAGCAAAAATAATTTTCTAAACCCTGCATCTCAAGCCAAACCTTGAATCCAAAAGTTCAACCCTGTTCTCTCCCATCTGCATGTTTCCACATGTCATAGGGATTCAGCAGCCCAAACAGTGCCATTATTATCTTCAAGTTTTGACTTTGCTGGTACCTGAGTGCAGGTATAAATGGGAAATGTTGCAATTATCTGGAAGTATGTTATCTTTCTAGTGGATCTTGTGAGCTGAAATAAACTGCATCTCATTCTTACACTGCTGATTAAACAGACGAAGATTGAATTGAAATGTGTCACTGTGGTGGACATGCTCTTAGCCACGGACATTGCATCATTTCAGTGAGAAGATGTAATTTTTAAAAATGTCACTTCTTCCCTTTAATGCAATAACTACTGAGCTTTAAAAACTGGTTTTATTATTGTGATCCAGAAATGCGTACATGTTAAGTCCCCTTCAGAGAACTGGCTGTAATCTTTAGATCACTTATCAAAGGTGTAATACAATCTGACACAATAGTAAATTACCACTTTATATTTCAGCTTCATCATCCCTGAAAGTCTAATGGTGTTCATTGCATACCACTCCCCCAAAATATTAAATAAAAAAAAGCAGTGAAAGAGCATCTCTGTCACACTGATAACTGGTTCACATATTAATCAGTAACGGCAGTTTTTATTGCAGTAAAAAGGATACTCCAACATTGGAAAAAAAAGTTAGGAGCACAGTTCATATGGAAGTTTTTTCCCCTCTACAGCCTCTCACAGACTTAAAATACTAGAGTCTGTGAGATAACTGTCTGGGTTCAGGTAATATACATGGAATTGTACATGAAAAATGAAAAATATTACTCCAAGTTGCTGAACTCTTTAATGTGAAATTAACAAATTTGGTATGTAAAAGTAAATACATTTCCCTTTCTGTCTGTTGCCGAAATGAACGAGTATTTCCTGTCAATGCATCCAACAGTGCATTGTAAAGCACAAGGCAAACCAGGGCAGCCTTACTGAAGACTACTCTGAAGACCCTTTTTGTCAGTCCTTTATTTTAAGATTATTATTTCTAAGGAAACATGCACCATAGGTGTTTAATATTTAACAGGTTACCTCTTAAGAGGAAAAGCAAGGGGAAAAAAAAAGGAATATTCCATGACACTTTCACCCACTCATAAAAGCTTGAAATCATAAGCACATGAAAGTCAAGCAAAGGCAAAGCAGTATTTCATATAGCCTGAGAATTATACTAAGACATATACAACATTCTTTACTAGTAAAGGAAAAAAAAAATGTACTTAGAAACATCAACACTAACACCTATATTTTACCATACAATGGAATAATTATCTATAGCTGTTAAGTGTCTTGGTTCTACCACACATGTCTAGAACAGACTACCAGGAAACACAGAAGTTCTAATGGGTGTTCTTTTGCTTCTAGAATAAATTGGTGCCTGTTTCACACTCCTAACCTAAATGTAATAGGAGGCATTACAGATGATTAAAAGCCATTTCTAACTGGAAAAAGGCACCTACCTAACCAAACAATGAGGTTATTTTGTCTGTGATCTTATTTTGCTTCAATATAAAGGCAGTAATTGAATTTATCTTTAAGTTTAAAAGGTTGAAAAGCCTTTTAAAATGACATGACAGTAGAAAATGAGAGAACTGACAGGATAAATATGCACATCTATTTCCAAACTTCAAAATTTATAAAAGTTTCTTGGGTACCACCAAATTATGATGAGTTCATACAGGCAATTTACACACTACACTTTTTCCATATACTTTATCAGGGCTTCTATGTCGTGATTGGCTTTAAAAGTAATTTTTCAGCTAATATTACATTTTCCAATTGCAGAGTTAATGCCCGGTCTTACTTGATGAACCTTTGAAGGATTTGGGTATTACTAATGAGTGAAAAGGGAATCAGGAGTGCATTATACCTTTGGAATGTCACCATAAGATCCAAATTGTTTACTGACACCCACAGTCCCAAGTTATTTCAAAGTGAAATCCTGAAACTGTTTAATGGTTATCTTGCGATCCACATAACGTTTTACTTGTTCAAGAACTTGGGACTGCTCTGAGGGCACAAAGCACTTCATCTCACTTGCTGACTGTGTGGGATATCCAAGCTCCAAGAGGATGCAGCTGCTTTTTGGGAAGGGCAAAATGTAGTCATCTTTTAAATGAAGCCACTACCATCTACACAGTTGCTACCTATTAGACATACAAATTCTTCAGCTTTCTAGACATTTCTTCTGATCTCTGTCATGGAGAACTTCCCAGTGAAGATGCAAAATGCAAATGGATTGATAACTGAAGCCCTGCACACATTTTTGCCACATGTCCAACATGTAGATGAAGATTTTACACTATGACCAGTTGAGGTCATTTTCCAAACACCTCACACAACAAGAAAGGAACAGCCACACTTCTTCCACCTACCTGTTCTGGTGGAGACAATTCTTCCATATTGTACAATGATAAGCAAAAGTATTTCAAGTGCAGTAACAAAGAAAAGGAGGTGTTTCAGAGGCTTTCAACCACAGTACCAAAAATTCATTACTCCATGCAACTGCCTGCAAAGAGACTGGGCCTAAAACTGCCTGCAAACTGGGCTGTTGGTCTGCTCCCTCACAGAACACACCAGATGACCACTCCAGCAACCTCACTTGGATGTCACACAGTGACACTGCCCACATCCAGCTACCAAACGTCATCATCTTACAACACAAGGATCATAAAACAGCAGAATTTTTTAAGGATGAGTCAGAGCTAAATTAGCATGGCTACCATTAGCCTAAGACATACTATCTTTGTTTCTTTCTAGAACTAATCCAAATGTCTAAAGACAACTCAGAGAACACCAGACAAAGGTCTTCTATGCATCCCAGAAACTACTAATCCTAAAATTGTATCACTAACTTTTTTGGTTCGAAGTTGTTCTTCATAGAACTCCCAGTGGCTATTCTGGAGTCAAAACAGCAATACAGCTGACATACAATATCCTTAAAATTACGAAGTTAAATGACAGATACTGCAAAATGAGGGGGGGGAGGTCAGTGACACTATTCAGATCATCATATACTTCCGATAATTTGACACCACATAGGAGTGTTTAAGTGCTGCTCACTTCAGAGGAGGTTTGTGTCACACACAGTAAAATATCATCCTAATAGAGCAATGTCACCCCTTAGCTGTGACCTCTCCTAAAGACTTTGAAAGACAACGACAAAGTGAAAACTGTCTACATGAAACCTGTCAGATCTTGCAATTGCACTTAAGACCCTACAGCTGATCATCAAGATCATCAAACGGAGAAAAAGTCCAACCAACCACAGCAGCAGTTCCACACCCAAGCACAACCTCATGGTTGAGCAGTACCTGTATCACCAGCACACAGCTCCAACTGGAAGGTGATGGTTTCTGTCCTGGCTTTTAAATTCTGCACTCCAGAGAGCCTCAATGCAAACAGCCATTTCACTAGGAAATGTGGAGCCTGAGGAGGTGCTTCAGACCAAGAAGTGTAGGACATCCAGTCATGTTTGGTGCTTTTAACACTTCCACCCTGGTTCCACTCACTGGAACTGGATATTTCTCAAGCACCCATGTCCAGTGTGTCTTATTTTTCATTTCAGCTTTCTCCCTTCGTATTCTCTGGCGTGGCAAGAGTGGCTAGACCCGTTCTCAGTTGGGGCATTGGAACTGGGTGCCAGAGGTCAAAATTCGGCTGTGTTTCGCCCACTGCCCGCCGGTTCCTTTTTCCCCGCCTGCCTCGGACCCGGCGGCCGTCGCCCGGTGCTGGCCCGCCGCTGTCGCCGCCGCCGCGGCCGGGGGGCAGCGCACGCCGGGCTGCGGGGCCGGGGGCCGCCGCCCGCCCCGCCTCGCACCCCGGGCCGCCCGGAGCGGGGCCCCCGCCAAACTTTGCGGCCCGCGGGGAGCCGGGGCCCGGCCCGGCCGCCGCCCCCGCCACCCCCGCAGCACCCCGGGCAGGAGGTGAAGCAACCTGGCGCCGGCTCCTGCACTTTGCACAGCGGGCGCAGAGCCGCCTCCATCCCTGCGCCTCCCGGCAGCGCTAAGGCGCATTTTTTCGCACTAATCTGCACATTCAGCACGTCCAGAGCGCCTATGACTTTACCTGGACTTTCTCCACTCTCCGGGCTCATCACACCGCGATCGCCTCCCCATCCTACCGCTAACTCTCGCTCTCCTTCACTCCTTCCTCCTTCCCTCTTGTAAGGCCTGCTAAGATCAAGCCCGATGGAAAGTAGAGAGAGAAAGAGAAAGAGAGAGGCAGCGGGAAGGGAGGGGAGCCGCTCCATCCCTCCCTGCCCCCCCCCGGGCACACACGCCAGCCCTTTTCCCCCCACCCCAGCCCTTCCCTCGGCGATTTCCTCCGCTCTTCGGCAACTACGAGGGCTCGGCGGAGCGGCTCCGAACGCGCCTCCGCTGCCCTCGGCGGCGCCCCGGCCGGCGCCCCCCCGCCGCCCGCCCGCCCCGCGGCCCCCGGTACCTCGTAAAGGTCCCCCGAAGCCATGCTGGGGTGCGGGACTGGGCTCCTCCGCGCCGTCTCCCTCTCTCCACCTCTCCCGCTCCCCCACTCGCTCTCTCTGTTGAGTAAACTGTGTTTTGCAGAATGACAGGCTTTGGGGCTGGCTGTGCGCAGAATCAGAGGCGAGGAGAGCGGAGAGGCAGGCGGCGGGGCTGGCGTAACCAGCAGCAGCAGCAGCTCGGGCGCACAGCGCCGGGAGCCGCGTCTCCCCCGCGGCGGCGGGGCCGGCGCCCCCCGCCCTCCCCTCACACCCCGCCCGCCGCCGCCGCCTCCCGCCCCGGGCGGGGACCGGCACCGGGACGGGTCCCCCGCGCCCTCCCTCCGGGAAAGTCCCCGGGCCGTTCTGACGGCGGCCTCCTCTCCCTCCTCCTCCCTCCGCCCCCCCCGCCTCAAACTCTTTCCGCGGCCAAAAAAAAAAAAAAAAAAAAAAAAAAAAAAAAAAAAAAAAAAAAAAAAGAAATAGAGGGGCGGGCTGGAGGGGTGGGTGCCGGAGCGGGCGCGCTCGGCGGGGAGGGCCGCGCCGCCCGCCCAAGGTCACCACGGGGAGAGGCGGGCGCGGGGCCTCGGGCGGCCCTGCTGGCACCTTCCGCCCCCCGGCGCCGCGTGGCCGCCCCGCCGCCCGTGGCCATGGCCGAGGGAGCCGAGCCGGCGGGAGCGCCCCAGGAGCGGCGGCCCGGCGGCGCGCCGGGGCTCCGGGGCGCCGCTCGCCCCCGCTGCCCGCCGGGCACGGCAGTGCCTCCTCTCCCGCTGTCCCCCAGGCATTTTGCAGGTTCGCCAGCCCGCTCGGGGATAGGAAAGCCAGCGGCGCCCCGCCACCTGCTCTTCACGTGGAGGCGGTGGCCGGAATTTTGAAGCGGCTGGGGGATGCGCGGCGACACGCAGCCATCGGCCATCGCCACTTTAGAGCCGTCCGTGTCGTTTCTTGGAGGAAAAATGCCGCCCTATGGCTGCTGGCGTCCCCACGGTGCTTACCTGGGAGATGGGGAACGTGTGAAGGGGATGCCGAGCGAGCCTTGACTCCCCAGCGGCCTTCGCCCCATCCCTGCAGAGCCTGAGGAGCTTCTCCCACAGGAGCCGGGCCGTGAGGGACCCGAGTCCGGACACATTCAAGAGCGGTCTGGATGCAATCCCGTGCCGCGTTCTCTAGGATGACCCTAGAGCACGCTGCTTGGACAGAATGACCCGCTACGGTCCCTTCCACCTTGGCTGATGCTGTGAACTGGTGGTTCTGTGAAGAGGAATGAGCTCATGGTGACAGAAGCCGCACTTTGCAGCAGTGGCGGACTCCAGGGGAGGCAGGATCCGGGCTGTGGCAAAGAGCCCTGAGTGGGAAGCCAGGGCCGCCCAAAAGGTAAGGGCTGCTCCCCTTGGAGGCTGATGAGCACCGCGTCGTGTTCCTGCGGCTCCGGGCTGTGGAGGATGTGCTTCTCCAGGTAAAGTGTTGAGTGTCCTCTCGGTATTTTATTTATTCCTAGATAAATAGGAAGGAACACCATGAGAGCGTTCTCTGACCAGCTCTTCACACCTTGGCTCTGTAGCCAGCCAGCTCTAGTTGTTATTGAGTTTCAGACTCGCTGCTCTCGCCTCACAGCAGACTTGTGGCAGGCATTCCCTTTCACCTGGGATCAGTGATGAATGTTGTATGGTCTGGCTTTGCCATAGCTTTGGTTTTTGTTAATCTTCTTGTATTTGTTGTTTTTTCCTTCTTGATTTTCCATGTGAATGTGAGAATTGGCACTGCTCAGAGCACAGGTTGGAGAGGGTTATTGAATGTGATAATCGTTAATAAAAGTTGCTGGTATTGAGCACTGAATTATTTCCAAGATTTTATTTATGACCAAAAATCCTGCTATTGTTCAAGTGGTGTGAAGCCAAAGACTCTTCTGGCTGAGAGGATTCCTTTTTAAAATATCAATATTGGGTATTTTGAACATTGTCACTTTTTATCATGAAAGTAGGAAATCACGCATGCACATCCAGCTCTTGCTTGACCCCATCTCCTGAACTGTGAATATTACCTCTGGTGATTATGAACTTGCCAGCTAACCAGTTTAGTATTGACTGAGAGTTCAATAAAAGCTATCTAATGGTAGTTTGGAGCTCAAAGACGTTTATGGTTTGTGTGGTCTACAGAGGTGTGTGATGATGTTGGACTCCTAAGAATAAGACATTCTGCTTAGATGAGACTATTTTTCTTTTACCTGACTGTGGTAACCGGTGACTTGTTCTCTGCTTTCCAATTTGCCGGCATTATTTGGATTGTTGGGATTTGGTATTTGAAGAGTAAAATGTTGAAAAGATAAAGAAATACTGTAAACTACCCATGTATAGTAATTCCAATAATTAATGCAGCAAATACTTCTTAATTCCAAGCAGTGCATTACTTCATAATCACATTCCATGGTTTCTCCTTGATAAATAAATTATTTTGTTTCATTGTAAAGTGATGTTTATTGTTTACAGTAGCAAATCAGCTCATTGAGCCAAATATAATAATATATCCATCAATAAGTAGGTGTTTTAATACATCTCTTCAATCTGCTTTATTACAACTACATTTTGCAGCTTTCCACAGCAGTAAACAAAATGGCAGTCAGAGCTGGTGAGTAATTTTTCAGATACATACTAAAATATTTGAAAATATCTGAAACTTTTGGCTTCTTTCATAGTATCAACTCTTCCCAAAAGTCTCTTGAATGAATTTTAAGAAGTCCCTTTCCAAGCTGTAGAAGATAACGCTTTTATTTTGAAACAAGTCTAATATTTTAGACATTTAATATTAGGTCTAATATTTTAGACTGTACAATTTCATTTACATTGTACAGTGTTTACAGTAACATTGTCAATATTGTTGCTGTGAGATTTACAACCCAAACAAATAGTAGCTTGGAAGTTTTGAAAGGATGAATGCTTTAGTGAATACTTTGAAGAGGGGAAACATCTTTTTCCTGATTACTCACTCCTCTTTTCAGAGGGCACAGTCCCTTGGGATATGGTGGTTTGTGAGTCAATAGTGAGGAGCATAAAGAGAACTTTTGCGATTGTCAAACCCAGGAAAAGTTGGTTATGGTTTTGGTGTATTTCCCTGTGAGTGAGCAGAAGACAAAGTTCTAAGTTTTAAAAAATTCAAGTGACCTTCATTTGCCCAGCAGGTCTTTATTGTAACTAGACAGGGCAGGCAGTGTTCCTCTCAGTCTTGTGTAAAAAATGGAAATGCTTAAATTTATGATAATTTTTTAGGGTTTCTGATAATAGACTTTCTGGAAATACATATTTTCTAGTTTTATTTGCCTTTCAATGGTAATATCTATGAAATGAAATTGCAGCAAAATCCAGATTGTTGTGCAAATTTCAAGCTCTAAACTTAATGGTTTTGCTAAGTATGTGATTATTCATTACTCTTATTGTTTTGCTGCCTTCTCCTATTTCCCATCCCAAGAGAGTAATGCAGGCAAGGGAGGCATTCCAAGCAAGATACATCACATTTGAACACTTTTTTGGATTTGATGGATGCTCTGGTTTCCACTACTTTATTTGAAGGAATTATCTCTCAGTCTGAATAAACCTAAAAGCAAATGTATTCTATTCCAAAAAGCAAAAATACTGCTGTCATAGCTGGACTATTGATTTGTTATTGACTGTTTAGTCAATCAGTCCAGGGCTATAGAAAGATGTGGGAACTGTACAGTCACTGACACAGTTCCCCCAAGGAGTGCAGATAAGTATTTGCAAACACCTCGTACAAAAAATTGCCATGAAGGGGCTGTGTTGGCTCTTGAATAGGAACAGGAATGATGGGCAAGAATAATTAATAAATGGAGAAATTGAGAGAATTTCTGTGCTAAGGTATGAAAATTATATGAGAGAATGGGGGAAAACAAGGCATGAGTGAAGAATAAGGAACCAAAGGCAAATGTAACGAGAAGGCTGTGCAAAGCCTTCGTTGTGTGAAAAAATGGGGGAGGCAAGGAATATTTTAGCAGCAGTAACTGAAGCAAAAGCAGGGAACAAGGTAGCAAGATGTCTATCGCCAGCCTAAGAAGGGAGGATGATCAGAACATGGAAAAAGTCGGTGAGTGAAAATGAAAAAAGTGTCTCAGTGGGTTCACAGAGTAGCAGATGACAGGAAATGGTGAGCAGCTACTGCAGAAAAAGCAGAATTGCTTATGGCACCGCTGTCCTGGATGGGAGACAGGCAGGATCAGGGATTGCCCAGGGCTTGGGGCTGAGGTGGCTCCATACTCACCAGGTAGGTGTGAGGAAGCACTAGGATACCACAGGAAGCTTATCACAAAAATTATCCAAGGTGTGAAGTCGAAAAGGAACTGCAAAACAAGAGGAGGGTGTTCTTGGCATACAGAGAGCATCTAAAAATTAGAAATAAGATGAATGTGAGAAAATTAAGAAAGCAGCATGTTTTTTTAATAATTGATTTGCATTGTTTTGTGATGAGAACTAGGCTTGGGAAAAGCCCCATGTACTTTGCCTTGTGCCATGCTGCCTTTGGAAGCAAACAAGTAGTTATGATCATTTGATTCTGATGCTAAATTAATATCTTCCTCCAAACCCTTCTTTGGATCTTATAACATGCAATTACTTATCATCTAGAGGAAACATTTGAAATAGGAGCTGAAATACCACAGTATAATGAAACAAACAGTAATATATGGAAAACAAAGTAATGTTTGTTTGTTGCAGTACATCATATACCATGGAACAGAACTTTTCTAGGGTTGATAGTACATTTTAATGGCTGCTGTTCTGAGAATTGACTTTGCTTCTTTCAACTTTATGAGTCTATTCTGTTCTCTTTAGTAAGGCCAATACCATTGTGCCTCAACTGGGGAAGGGGAAAAAAAACTTTGTCCAAGGATAAAATTTTGATAACTTTGTCTTTCTCTGAACACATTGAGTACCTCCCAATATGGCACCAAAAATAGAATCTTTGCACATTCTTCTCCCTCTTGTTTGCAAATGCCTTTTTTCCCACTTGACATGTTGTCAGAGATAATAAGAAGGTGCCAAAACATTCCTGTTGGACAGTTTGCTGGCTTTCCAACTAAGGTGAAAAAAAAAGACAAAGTGTAGATCATGTATGTGGAAGTCAGTCTCATTTGGGAGCTCTTGTGTACACAGAACCTTCAAAATTGCAGCTGATTTAGGAAATCATGATGTACATCTAACAGGTGCAAATGACACACATTGTTTTCCTATATTCCTGTATGTCCT